CCGCCGGAGCAGACCACCACGTTATCCTTCACGATTGAGCTCTTCAGATGCTTATTGTGGACAAACGTGTCGCGCCACCACGTCGCGATGGCCTCGCGGGCCTCCGGCGCCCCCGCGACTGGGAGGTAGCCGTTCCAATCCTGCGAGTTCGCCACCTCGTTAAGCTTCTTGATGTGGCTTTGCGGCGTGAGAAGGTTCTTGTCGAGCGTCGGATCGCCGACGGAGAGCTTAATGATCGGCTTGGGGGATGGCGACACCTTCGCGTTGTCCGAGATGGTACGGATGGGGTTGACGACGAGGCCCGCGTGGGTCGACATGGGGACTTTCCAGGAGCTCATTTGCTGTTTTGGCGTTGTTTTGTGCTGTTAGTGATGCCTCGCGCAATAAAAAGCTTTGCTGATGTTTTTGCAGAACAAACCGTCCCACAGCACCGCCGCAGAGGAGCGCCGCGCGAAAGCAGGGCGGCGGCGGCAAAAAGGTCGGAAAACAAAACAATAATAATAAAGGAGTAACGCGACACGACGCGACACGCGCAGGCGCAGCGACAGAGGCGTAGACACACAAGCAGGCACCACGCAGGGAGCCGCAGGGGCGGCATTTCAAGCAGAGAAGTGCTGGGAGGGGACAAGGGAGGTCTGCCCACCATAGAAAAATAAGTAATGAACGTCTTGAAAAACAATTACTGCGCTTATCAACAATCAAGTTACCTGTAATTTTGGTCGACGAAGAGGGCGCCGCCCCACCTCTTCGCTAGGCGGGAAGTAAAAATAAAAACAAACAAAAACAATGGAAGAAAAAATCATGGGACAAACTCAAAAAAAAAACCCGCCCGCACGTAGCGCTTGAAGAAAATAACAATTCCCCCCCCCCACTCACAACAGGGAAAAGAACCCCGACCAGAAGCGCAGTTCTGGCCCCTCCTCACGCGCAGAACACAAAGGCATCGGCGCCAGCAGAGGTCAGAAGGGAAGTAATTAAACACTCCAACGTGCGAAAGAAGCGCCCCATTAAAAAAGAGAGCCTGCGCCCCCTACGCGGCGTGGCGCTGGCAGAACGCCTTGATGCGCTCCACTGCTTCACGGTACACCGAAACAGGCCGCGTCGTCGTCACCCGCATGAAGCCCGGCAAATTGAAGATGCTTCCAGGCAGCACCTGAACGTTCTCCTCCTCCAGCAACTTCTCAAAGAACTCCACGTCTGTCTTTATGTCCTTGAACTTCTCCAACTCGATTTTGGAAAAGATGTACATCGCCCCCTGCGGCATCGTCGGCACCACGCCGAAGCAGTGAGCGAGGTGCTCGTAGAGGTACATGGCACTCTCCTCAATCATGCGAACGTTCCCGTCAAAGTACTCCTGCGGGGTGTGAAGGAGCGCCTCGGCGACGGCGCCCTGCGTGAGGGTGTTGGGTCCGCAGACCAGCATCGACACGCGCTTCAGGCCCTCCAGGAACCCGCGGCCCGTGCCGTGTGGGTCAACGTAGAGCAGCCAGCCCAGACGCCAGCCTGGAACAACGAGGTTCTTCGCGGTGCCGCCCAAAATCACACGCGGCACCGTGGAGTCAAAGTCGGCCACAGAGGTGAATGTCGCGTTGGGGTCCTTGCCCTTGAAGACCATGCCGGCGTAGATCTCGTCCGCGAACATGGGCAAGTGCAGCTCCTCGGCAAGCCGCACGAGCTCCTCGACGTGCTTGCGGCGGAAGTTGCTGCCGCACGGGTTGGACGGGTTCGTCATCACAATCAGCTTCGTCTTGTCGTCCTTGAGTCGCCGAATCTCGTCCAGGTCGGCCTCCCAGTCCTTGTCCGCCCGACAGGTGTAAAAGTGCATGCCGATGCCGTACGCCTTGCACACTGTCTCGTAGTGGGGGAAGCCCGGCTTGGGCACCAGGACGTAGTCGCCCGCGTCGCAGACCGCCGTGATGGCCATGAGAATGCCATGCGAGCCGCCGGAGCAGACCACCACGTTATCCTTCACGATTGAGCTCTTCAGATGCTTATTGTGGACAAACGTGTCGCGCCACCACGTCGCGATGGCCTCGCGGGCCTCCGGCGCCCCCGCGACTGGGAGGTAGCCGTTCCAATCCTGCGAGTTCGCCACCTCGTTAAGCTTCTTGATGTGGCTTTGCGGCGTGAGAAGGTTCTTGTCGAGCGTCGGGTCGCCGACGGAGAGCTTAATGATCGGCTTGGGGGATGGCGACACCTTCGCGTTGTCCGAGATGGTACGGATGGGGTTGACGACGAGACCCGCGTGGGTCGACATGGGGACTTTCCAGGAGCTCATTTGCTGTTTTGGCGTTGTTTTGTGCTGTTAGTGATGCCTCGCGCAATAAAAAGCTTTGCTGATGTTTTTGCAGAACAAACCGTCCCACAGCACCGCCGCAGAGGAGCGCCGCGCGAAAGCAGGGCGGCGGCGGCAAAAAGTCGGAAAACAAAACAATAATAATAAAGGAGTAACGCGA